GTCCCCGTTTGCAGTTTGTGCACTGTGTAACATGAATATATCTAATATTAAGTTAAGCACTTGTTTAGCCTTCTAAAATGTTTACATTGTATATATTCATATATGTATTCGTTTTATCTTAACAGGTTTCATCCAAACACCTGGACATTTGGGGGAAATTGGATTACCTCCCCATACTGTTGCTGTAGGTATTCCATTTAGCCCTGTCCTCATGTTACCTTGTGACTTCAGCTGAAGGTCCCGTTCAAGTGTTAACATGGTTCTGGCTGTTTTTGTTGATGATTTATGGCTTTTTGTTTAATGATTTACTAAGAATTTTTTTACACTGGAAGTTCATTTTATTTGATCTTGGTTTTACTCCTGGTTGTAATGTGATATTGCGGAGAAATCCCCTATCTTTGTCTCAGGAGTCGGCGAATGTACCTTTGATTTTTTTTCAAAGGAAAAGCTCCTCAAGCAGATGAGGTTTTACTACCGCTCCTGGTAGAATCGTGCAGAGGATGATGCCAGTGCTTACAGCCTCTGCGGTGAAACATATTGCAGTAAAAGTACCCATCAACAACACCCCATGGTTTTATTATGACTGACACAACACAGTTTGGTGCAAACATTATGTGTTTACTGCTCTCTGTATGCCCTCACTGTCTGAACAAAGTGAGGGTGAAAATCTGAACAGCGCAATGCAGTCGGAGACCCTTTTTCTAGGTGCTTCAAATGTTTGAGGTTTTGAAGACATCAGTAAAAAGAAAGCGTCGCAATTGTTCATTAATTCCAGCAACATGGTCCTGTTTTTTCACAGTATGTCTCTTTGTCCCTGAGACCCTTAACCTGTGAGGTCAAACTAGGTCACAGGTGAGGTCCTCAGGAACAGGGCTGCATGCGCCGTCATCCCAAAAAGTCAAACAAAGGAGAAACATTTGGCTTTTTATTGTGTCTTTAAATCAGTCTTAGTTGTATTTACAGATCCCAATTAAACACATGATGAAAAAGAGCAGTTTTATGTTTAGATTTAGAGTTTTTATACTGTATATTATTAGATTGTACTCCAGTTGAGGTAGTTACTATTGGGGACACACCCTATTGGCTGGCTTTGTGTTCTACACAAAGAAATTATCCAATGAGAAGACAGCCAAGGCTGGTGACCCCATAATATTATCAACACTCATACTATCATGCAGTACATACAAGACAAGACAGATATATTTATGGACAGAGTTGTTGATTCATATGTCAATAAGCATCTCTTCTCCCCTATGTCTGATTCTCTCATAGTACCTTGTTTCTAAATATCGGTGAGTTTTCTTACATTAATGTGTGCATAATTTGTTCATACTTATCAATGGAGCTATTTAAAACTAAATCCATTAATTGTAGAGAAATTTAATATTCCACAAATTATCTCTGGAGAATGTTTTGTTGTTTGGTGCAATTATTATGCGTTTACTGACAGCTTGAATGAAGTGAGCATGAAAATCGAACTGAATCTGAGCAGCGCAATGCAGTCCAACCCCCCTTTTTCAGGTGTAATTTGTAATACTTATCAATGGTCCTCTTTTAAATTGATGCAGAAGAAATTTGCTGGGATTTCAGATGATGCCAACTATGGATCAACATACAAAACTGTCAAATATAATCCTCATAATGTAATCATTCCAAGCACAAGTTGCAATTACTGCTTAACATGTTTGTTGTGTCTGCTTAAATGAATACATGGCTTTAACTAACCACATAGTATTATATTATAGCTGTATACTACTGTCATATGGACATTTCTTTGGCAAACTAATTTTTTGTATTGAAACGAGCATTTTCTGTAAAGCTGCTGTAAAATAATATGTATTGTGAAAAGCATTATACAAATAAAACGTGAATTGAATCCAAATTAAACCCCACAAAGCATCATCGGAACATGTTAGACGCAAAGGTTTCTATCATGGCTGTCAATAAATCCAAAATATAACATTTCAAATTGTAGAAAAATACCTTAACACTGTTTCATCCTCCGTAAATAGGAAAGCAATTAAAACAATTTTAAATTGTAATGACTTTAATTTGTGTACACTATGATGTATAAAATAATATCTTACCCTCATGTCCTTTTTTTTCTTTTTTTTCTTTTTTTTTTCTTCTTCTCTCTATCTATTGATCTTTTTTTTCTTAGTTTTAGTCCGTTATACATTGCTAACTTCTTCCTTATTCTGTATGTTCAGATGACATTGTACATATTGTTGTTATATTTGTACAGACATGTTTGCAATTTTGTTACAAAATTGTATACTATGATTGTCATCTTTGTATTGTTTGTAAGCATAATAAAAAAATAATAATAATAATTCACTGTCCCACATGTGATGCACATTCGAAATCACAAATGAAAAATGAACCCTGGAAAAAAAGAGACACCGGCACTCCATGATATGTTAATTTTTCAGCACACCCTCTGTGACTTGCTGCCCTCCTGTTGGAGGGCCAGCTGTAGAATAAGCATCTCAGGACAGTGCGGCGCAATGCTACCTGTCTTCTGATCATTGCTTATAGCCCGACTGACTTGACTACAACGTCTTTTCTCTGGCAGGCCTGCGGTGGGGCTCCTGCTCACTATTGATTGCCTTGTCTTTGCAGAGACAGATGAATGCATTAGTACCCAAGTCGCTCCTGCCACTGGAAATATATTAACTTCATGTATTAGGCACCCTGTCTCGTTACCATGGCGACACTTTGGAAAAGACAGGGAAGAGGGGGTGGAGGGAGGAGAGGGTGTTTGGGGGTGATGGAATGGGGGGGGAGGGGTGTGGGATATGGGATGCAATGAGCTTGTGGGCTTGATTGGTAGTCTCTATTTCTCAGACACACACACACATTGACTATGTTGGGAGTCCTTCCCCATCCTACCATATTGTTTTTTTTTATATTATGTGTATGTTTCAACCTTTATATTGATCTATTTTAAATGGCAATTATGATTTTTCTAATGTCTCATTACTGTAATTCTATGTTTTGTCTTTTTCCTTTCTTTCGTCTGCTGCTCAGACGTCTGCTGCTCTTTTCCCGTTGTTCCGGTCAATTTGGATCATTTGCAATATCACGGCACCCCACCACTATCATCAACAGGCACACAGGCATCACCCTCTCCCTCCCCTTTTCCTTCTCTCTCTCCCTCTCTCTTTCACACACACACACACACACACTCCCAATCTCTTCACTTTGCAGCAAAATGGTGCATAATGGGAGCAGGAAGAGGGTTGAAAAGACAATGGAGTAAATTAGGAACAAGAAAGAGCGGGGAAACACTACACAAGACCACCATGAACATCACATGCATATTGCTTTTGTCTGGAGACATTGCATGATCAAGACAAACTAGCCTCAAATATGTCAAAGGGATAGTTCACCCAAAAATGAAAATTCTGCCATTATTTGCTCACTCTCATGTCGTTCATATCATGTATGACTTTCTTTTTTTATGTGGAACACAAAAGGAGATTATTTATAAGAATGCTGGTAACCAAAAAGTTTCGTTCCCATAAACAAACAGTTTCGGTTCCCATTTTTTCCATAGGCTACAATGGAAGTCCTAGTATTCCCCTAAATATCTTCTTTTATGTTCCACAGAAAAAAAGAATGCCGCACAAGTTTGGAAGGTAGGCCTATAGCTAGTGAGTAAATGATGACAGGTTTTCCATTTTGGGTGAACTAGCCTATCCCTCTAAGAAAGCTAAAGAAGCCTATAATCAAGGGTTTTTGAGTTTTACTTTTTATTTCTATTTATTTATTTATTTATTTATTTATTTGTATTATTTTGAGCTATTTTTAATTGTAACACAAATCATCACCAAACAATCACCATCTGTATTGGTGGGCTAACGCAGAGCCGGTGAAAACCATGTGAAAACCGTTTTTCAACGGCTCTGGGCTATAAGTTACTATTTCGTCATGATGATGATGTAATCATTCAACTGAATTTTCTTAAGATGTTTAGTTTCATATTATCTTCTCAAGCAGGTTGAGAAATAACACAATAACAGTTCTAGTAGCCTAATAACAGTTCTAGTAGTCTAATAACAGAAATGTTTGTGTTGATTGTGAAGCTATTGTTTTTCAGCTCGATTATTAGCACAGCTTTGAATTGTTATCAGTGCTTTATCGATGTCGATGACAGTCTTCGTATGTGTTGGGGCCATATGCTTACACAATACAATGTAAGGAATGCAGACTCTTGTTTCAAAACACTGGATCGCATATTCAACAATGAACCGAGAGTAACTGATGCAGGGAAAGTAGGTAAGAATTAAGAAATCACATATTAGTATTACTACGACTACGAGGTGTTGTGCTGTAGGCTACGTTAGTGAAGTCACAAAGCCAACGTTATAGGCTATGTGTGGGTACCATAGGTGGGTACCGATAGACTGTAAAAAATACCATGATATGATCGCTTTTTGCTTTTTATAAAACTGTTATTTTTATAATGAAAATATTAACAACCGAATTATTATTATTAAATGTTGATTTATTAAGATGTTTTAAGTAAATAAATAAATGATATCCTTCCGCTGGTTTACGTATGCTAGGCCTACGTCAGTTACGTTAACTAACGTAAAACAAGCTATAACGTTACAAGAGCTGCATGCGCAATTATATTTCTTACTGGAGGTCGCGTTATTGGGTTTATCTGTTTTTTTTTTTTTTTTTTTTTTTTTTTTTTTATCAAAATGTCATCGATGTGCACCGTTTGGAAGAATTGGTCACATTCACGTTTTTCCACTCTGTATGTTTTCTTCATAAGATTAAAATGTGTCCTATTTAACTTATTTTATTTAATTATTTATTTATTTAACAGGGACAATGCACAATATGTACTGTGCCAGATTTAGCTAAAAGCTAATTCCCATCTGCAGTGGGAAATTAGCTCTCTTATGAATTTTCTTTTATTTTTTTATTTTTTATTTTTTTTACAATTCATGTTCTTGAACAGATCTTGTTTTGTATTTGGTTCTCAGGAAGAGGCTATGACGTGATGCTGAATAATATCTTGATGGCTGAAATTATGCCTATAGTGGAGGAATTTGACGAGCAGACAAATAATGGTAACAGATTAATTCATATAAATATATCCAGCAAAGTGATAACTGTTTGTTTGAGACCAGACCTGTGACAGTTAGGCTATAACCAACAACCTGTAGGATTTACCTGGTAACAACAGAGTTAATATTTACTTTCAGACATGATTCATGAAATAGCAAATGTGTGTAGGCCTACTCTTATCAGTGCACTCCAACAGTAACTAGATTACAGAGGATAAACAGGCTGTAGCGATTATACGCACGTATAAATATAATTAATTATTATTCATAACGGATTATGATCAATAATTAATAATTGAATTATTTTCAGAATTTACTGTAGCAAAATCAATAGTATGATCAGTTTATCAGTTCATCCAATGAACGGAAAGCATAAACAATCATTAATTCCAGGAAATATAATATCTTCTTGGCCAAGAAAGCCCAGATAACAGCTAAATTAAGAAATAAATCAAGGGTCAAAGCATAGGTAACTTAGATCGAAGTTCAAGACAATAAATCTGTAAGCACATAACACAAGTAATGCCTCTCTTTTCAAATACAAACAATACTTTATTGATTATAAGCCTATGACTAACACACATAAAACTAATATAACACAAACACACGCACACGCATTCATACAAGTTGAAGAAAGACAGAGAGTGAGGAAGAATGAGTTTTAGGAGTTAGATGGTGAGATCCCAAGTTTCTATATGCACTTAAAAGACATGACCTGAACGAACCATCAATAATTAATTTCACCCTTTTATCGTTTCTTAGGCGGGTAATTCAATTTGATATTAAAATGCACCTGCAGTTTCAGCTAAAAGTCTGGAGGTACTTGCTTGTCCTTGCTTTGGGGTTCCCTTTTGTCGTGAAGGGGGTTCCCGGGTGCGTGGTTTGGCTGGCGGTCTCCTCGTGCTTGATAGATCTCGGGCAGCCAGTCACGTGGTGTGTTGGCGGATGGATGAATGAAAGTCTTTGAAGTTGAAAGCTGGTTTTGCAGTTGAAACGTTAAAACGAAACTTTGCAGCAACACTTAACTTAGAACCGAGACTTTTAACGGAAAAGAAAAGAGAAAAGAAAGAAAAGTGTGACGAGATGGCTTGAATTAAATCTGTTTTAACCCATATCTTGATTTGGGTCATTTGTCTCTGCGTCTACATGGTTACTATAACCATCGTCGGCTCCACCCGGCTTGTTCTGCCGAGACCTTTTCCGAGGGAAGGGAGCAAGAGCCCCAGAGAACCAGAGAGAGCACAAGAGAGCCTCCCAAGAGCATCACAAGAGCGCATCACAAGAGCGCATCACAAGAGAGAGATTCTGTGTCCGGGTCTAAGATTTTAAACTCAAAATGTTTGTCCCGCCTCCTGGAGGAATTTGGAATTCGGACAATAAGATACTATATGGTTATTTGAGAAGGGGGTCTTTCCTATCCCCCCCCAACCCCCCCCCCCCCCCCCCCCCTTCATTCATCGCGAATCATGTGTTCTCTGTGGTCTGCTTACTCATCAGCTCGAAACAGAGGATTCAGTTTAGACATAATTTCCATTTTAAGAACATAAACATTTTTACACTGATTTCAATCGAGCCATCTTTTGAATTAAAAACATACGAGCATAATGATAGGAAACACGACACTTTCATTCCAGTATCTCTAATATTCAAAACAATTACATGACTTAGATGTGATCTAAGCAGAATAGACACATACAGGGGTTGTAAACACAATATATAATTATGTTATGTTACATGATTTTGATTATGGGTCAGTCAAGAATTGTTCTGGGATGAGTTTTATTGGTATTGGAGAATTGGAGGAAAGTCCTTATGTGTGTGTGTGTGTGTGTGTGTGTGTGGGTATCCTTATGGTCAGCATTTGTGCATCCGTGGTGTGTACCACGTGAGGGTTTAGTTCGCAAATGGCTGTCTTCAAGACAAAGGGTATTTTGTATGCAAGTCCACTTTTTCAGCCTTAAGGAGATATAATAATTGATGAGGGGAAAACTAGCTCGGGACGCTGAATGGTTCAGTCTGTTTAGTCGCAGGGGTCAGGTGACTTCTTGTTAGGGCCTCTTGTTTCACCATTTCTGAACAGATCTGTTCTTGCCAAATTATAAAACATTGACAACGTCCTTCCTTTAGTTAAGATTATGTATGACAGCTTCACTTGTGTGGGTTTCATTCTCGTTGTCGCTACAAGGCCTAGAGACTCGGTTTCTTACATAACATAACGTATTCTGAAAACTGATGTGTACAAATGTGAAGTGATTGCTTGCACTTTCCGCAACCAGAAACGCAGTGCATTTTATGAGAATTTGGATGTTGTAAAGCTGTAAACCTGTCAGTTCCATTGGTTTGATTACAAATTTAACCTAATACAAAGGACACAATAGAGAAAAAAAAAAGAATTTTTTTTCAGTCAAATTTTTAAAGAATAATTGCTTGCTTTAGGTGATTTCTAATTGTTCAATAATTAAGTTGTTGATGCAGCATCAGAGAGCTCATCTTTCTTTCACACTGGGGAAAGCAGAAAAGACAGAGAGAGACTGACATGGAATATTAGTGAGAGAGCCTGATAGAACACACATGTAATCATTGACATGCACACTTCAAGTGAAATTGAGATAAATGGTTCTGTCCTTCTCCCCTCTTCTCCCTTTTTTCAGATACAGTGTATGAGTTCAGGTTACAGGCAGCAGCAAACAATTTCATTGAAGCAGCCTCAAGGCTGCCCAGAGGTGAGACTTACATTATCACTTCATTTCTTTTGCTTGCTAAACCATGAAAAACTGGACCTAAACCATGAAAAACTTGACCTGAGCCTTCATCTTCAAACCTGCAGCTCTTACTCTTCGCTATAAGTTTCATCACAATTTCCTCTTATTTCTCTCTTATCTTCATAATTTCTCCAGCCTTAAAACTTGATTCACCCAGCCATCTCAGTATTCCTTGCACATGGATATTACAGTAAACATGTTTATTTTTTTTTTATTTCTTGCAGCCTCTGGATGTTTCCCCCCTTGTGGTAAGTACATCTATGTGATGATCCTCCTGATGAAAACATTTCTTGTGATGTATTTTGTGGTCTCTAGGGCTACGTCTACATTAATCCGGATAGATTTGAAAACTGAGTTTTCGTTTCAAAACGCTCTCTGTCCACACTAGCGTTTTCAAGCGTTTTCCAAAAGTTTCTCATCCACACTGAAACGTCGGAAAAAGCTAAAATCACCCTACAGCGCATGCGTGAACCCTCATAAAAGCTCACTGATGATACAGACAGAACAAGACATAATCAAGTTATCACGCAATTCTTCTGGCAGGATCATTTTATTTAGCAAAATATCTCACCATTTACTGATGCGTCCAGGTCGCTCTCACTCACCATTATACAGTATGTTTTGTCTGAAACGCAACTGTAAGTCTGTCTAATTCGATCCAAGGGCGGCATTCAAATTAGCGGTGAAGGTCACATGCGCGTTCCGTCTCTTCCAATGGCAAAGGGATTTTTAATTAAATAATACTTTTTATCTTATGTATTAACTCGTTTCATCTGACTCCATAAAATGAAAGTGTTTTTCAATGATATCTGTGCATCATTAAGTATACGTTAATGTTTGACTATTCCTTTTAACTCCAAGGAAAATAAAGTCAAAGTCTGTTAGAATAATCAAATATAACAATTTATTATGTCAGATAAAAGTATTATGCCAATTTCATAATCAGTTCAAAGATCATCAATACAAAACATCAAATGCTCTGATAAGAGAAATAGATGCAAACCCAACATTTAAGAACTACATGAGCTAACCTCACGGGCTGATCTGAGATACAGAAAACAGCCCTGATCTTCCAGTTGCATTTCCTTATATACCATGACCTCATTTCATATGTAAGTTCCAGTGGAAATTTACTGGTAGGTAACCATTTGCTTAGTTGTAATTTGCATTCAAACAAAAGGCCAGAAGGTGTTAACTCCAAGACAAACCCTTCTGTGTGAAAGATATTTCTATATTCTTAATAACCTTATTACCTTTTGTTTTACTTCTTTTGGAATGAGACACTCGTACCAGCCACCCTGAGACCTTTAAAATGATACTAAACACAATCCTTAATGATAATCATTCACATTAAAACCATACATATATTCTTATGTGAGTTTCAGGTGATCTGCAAGAGTGGGGGATGCGGGGAAGAGGTGTGTGTGTGTGTGAGAGAGAGTTCAGATGTTAATTAGCCAAGGTCCTTTGTCTCAATAGACCATGTGGTCAGATATTTTCTCTTCAACAGGTTTTACGGTCTTACACAACTCTAATTTTTTGCCGGAGGACAGCAAATGCGAGTGAATTTTCTGCCATCTTTGCAGGACTGTGATATCAAGAGTGTGCAAAGTAACATATTTTAGCAACTGTGTGAAAGTGAATAGCACATAACAGGCACAATACCGGTATAAACATGAATATCTATGGGTTCAATATGCGTTACATGACTATACTTGCGTTATCGTTTTCAAATATCTCCGTTTTCTCAGTCAACACTACAACGTGAAAACGCCGTTTTCAAATGTATCCACTTTGGAGAGCGTTTTCAAAAAGCTTTGTTTTCGTTGCTAAAAATGCCATCTCAGTGTGGATGGAAGGCCAAAATGTGGGACGGAAGTAGAAAAGATGCTTTTCAAACAAAAAACGTATTAGTTTGGACAAGGCCTCAGATTGCTAGACTGTCAGGAACATTTGGAGAATCTTTAGACATTTAAGGTGGCATGGCATCAAAAAGTTCCACCACTGTGGTGATCTTTTCATTATAGATAGTGTTGTGAACTATTTTCTTCTAAAGTGTAGAAAAGTCAGAAGCTCAGACCAGGAGATGTTGAGGTATCTTTCAAGCAGAAGTTCTTTATTGAGTCGCTGTAGCATCTCAATCTCGTCTGACGTCTTGAGTCAAACATTGTAGTATACATTATAAGAGGGAGGGATTACATAGGGGTGGAGTCACTCTGAAACAAAACATGAAAATGTAGTACGGAAGTCAGCTCGTTACCGGAAATTCCCTAGCCCTGATCTCATCAGCATAGCAGTTATTCAGGGGCTTGAGATGCTAATCCAATCAGCCTGACTAGATTGCTCAAACCTTAAATTATCATAGAGACAAAGGGTGGGAGTCTCAGTAATCTGACTCATTTAACTTACAATAGAGAGAAACAGGTCTGGCAGCTGTATAGAGAGAAACAGAACAGGACAGGAATCTCGTGCTCAACAGCTGAATGCTAAATTCAATCTACAGAACTTTCTCAGTTTATATACTATTGTACTGGAACTTAAATTAAACATTTAAATAAATTTGTAATCCTACAATAGCAATGTCCAAGCTCTTCCATACACTTCTTCTCCAAACATACATGCCTTTTGATTTTCAAATACAGTTTAAAAAAGAAATTATTATAAATGGGATAAAATGTATTGTTTAGGTTTCCAGGCGCAAGGTGCTGTTTATAACTGCGTGACCTGTCAGTACGACTCCTGTGAGTTCCCGCTGGATTGCCCCGGTGAGTTGACAGGCTCCTTTACATCTGCACAGTAGTCTGTTCAATCAACTATGATGTGTAATTCTATGCAGCCCCCCACCCACCCACTCTCTCCACACTTGACATGATGGATATGTTATAACTCAACCTGACAGAACCACCTCTGTAATTATGTAACGGCATTTACACAGCGCAGACATCTATAGCTTTTAACTCTACTTAAGTGCACAGCGAAGTTGTTAAACGAAACCTTGGGCCTTGACACATTTTCACACATGTGGGTCACCTAAGATGGCAGGCCTTCTCCCACACACTGTGGTATTCATTTCCACTCAGTACAGCTACAATTACTGCTCAACGTATCTTTTCCTTGGCTGCTCTCACCAGAGGCTCTGTTTAAATATTATAATTAGGTGAATGGTGGGCAGACTGTGCTGCCTCTGTCCTTCTGTTGACAAAAAGGCATTCAGTTGCAAGGTGAAGTGATACAGATCTGTGTCCAATGTATTTTTTTGTGTGTAATGTATGTGTTTTACAGTGAAGGAAATCACTGTACAAGAGAACAACAGGACTCAGATGTGGTGTAAGGTCCCTTTCCCGCTGCCCACAGGTGCAGAGATTATCTGGAGATATGCAATGGTGAGGAGTTGATCACCATGAATAGCTGACAAAGTTTAAAATGACCAATGAGCAAAACGAATATTAATTACTATTTTTAAAAAATCATTAATTCATTAATTCATTCCCCTTGTTTTTTGGGGGTTGTTTTATCCAGAAAAAAATATTGTAAGTTTCTTGCTGGCTGGCTATCCATCCATCCATTATTTATTTTTTTATTCATAAAATTTAAAAATAATAAATAATTTTTATTTTAAGCTGTAGAATTTACCAAAATTAGAGCGGAATGTAGCAATAAAAAAAAACTAAAAAAAAAACGCACTCAAAATTACAGTATGTCATGAATTAATTCATTCATCTTGTTTTTTTTTTTTTTTTTTTTTTTTTAAATGCAGACAAAATTACAATATGTTTCCTGGAGAATTAACAAATATATATAAATAATATAGCCCCCTCTAATTTTGGTAAATTCTGCAGGAAACATACTGTAATTATAATTGTATTATTTTTATATTTTTTATATAGTCCCACTTGCTAAATGTTTTAGTACTTTTCAGAATTTTTAAACCTTTCCTTCCCATTCTTTTTTGTACTTACAAACGCTGAACTTGACATACAGGAGATAACGATGTTGATGGATCGGTTTGATGAGGTCACGGTTGGAGTGGATCCACTTTACTTTATCTCCTCTGCCCGGCCAGAGCACTCAGGCACCTACCAGTGTGAAATATTCTCTCAGGAGCACTCTCTCGTCCGTATCTACTACTACCTCACAGGTAACCAAGCACGTATGAAAAAAAGAATGACATTCCTTTACTGTTGCTATTACTGATCTCAATTTCTATATACCAAATGTCTGTGGTTTCCACCTCAGTGGTCCCTCTGGCACAGTTAGGCCATGCAGAACTACAGGATGTATTTGAACAGGCTCTCCTCCCAGGAGGCCAGTTCCCTCCCCTGTCCCCTAAGGATCAATTCACCTTGTGGATGCCCAGTCCCGCCCTTCTCACCACCTGTCTGACTGCAATGTTTCTGCTGGTCTTCCTTTTGCTAGGGTAATCATTTTCAAAATAATTATTCAGTGTTATTCCTATAATTATTTCATTTTATTTTATTTATTTTAATTATTTTACTTTATTTTATTATTTTATTTTATATTTCATTATATTGAAAAGTAAAACATTTCTTACAGCAGGGATTCCCAAACTTTTTTTTGTCAGCTGAACCCCTAAAATATTTCCTTGACATATACCCTGTAAGTTAATATTTCAAATATTATAACACATTCGCTTGTTCGCGGTTCTCGTATATTGATTAAGGGCCACTAGTTCTGGGGAAAGTTTCTTTTAAAATCAATGTGTTAAAATATTGCATTACTCTCTAAAAATGTAGCTGATTGCATTATTTAATTACTTTTTATGGAAAGTAATGTGTTACATTGCTTTTGCATTACTTTTCTCACCTGGGCTGGATTTGCATGTTTGTTTTTTAATAACAAAACCCACAAAAAATGAATAATCCTCAGACTGAAGGAAACGCAAATTCACGCTTGTGCAGTAGAGGGCGCAGTAGAGGGTGCAGGTCAAATAAAGCATTCAGCTGTGCTGCCATTCTGGAATCAGGATTGCAGAAGAATAGGAAGATCAAAAAATAAAACAAAAATGTGATGTTTGGTTATGGGAAGTCATTTTTGCTTATTGGTATGGTTGAATTGGATCATCGAATGTCAGCAGCAAAGTGAGATTAATTACATAAAGAATATTTGTATTAGAAAGATGGGCTCTCTGATGCTGCATCAACAACTTAATTATTGAACAATTAGAAATCACCTAAAGCAAGCAATAATTTTTGAAAAATTTGACTGAAAAAAAATATTCTGAGTTTGCGTTTCACTGTTTTGATTTATTTTGAGGAATACTGAATGCTCACATTAATTCTAGAACTACTGTAAGCATCTTGTTTACTCAATGCCTCTGCACTTTACTCTCGATTTCTCTTAACATGGTGTAAGAAATTATAGTCTGCTCCGATCCAACTTCCACTCCAATATAGATGTATTGAAATGTTCCTTCACTTAAAAGAGCTTATTTATCATAGAATTAATTCCTTACAATCTTAAAAGTATCACAGAGTCACGTTTATTACCTATAGCGTGGGAATGACAGCGGGTATTCAAGAACCATCTTGATTAGGGAGCTTCAAAGAGATGTTATCACCTTAAACATTTGGCCGTTCTTATTTGAAAGAAGATCAAAGACATGGACACAGAGGTACCACTTTTAGTTCTCTTCAATTTACATTTAAGATAGAGTTTCATTTACATGCTGAGGGGAAAGACAGATGTAAGACGGTATAAAATGTTTACGCTGGGATGAGTTCGGGGTTCATTCTGACGCCAGTGAACCCAAGGTGCTTCGTGTCCCTTGCCACTGCTATGCTGTAATAAACTTCATTTTTGAGATCTTCGACATCTACATCATTTTTTCTTACATGGGGACAGATGAGGTGGCAGTCAACTTGAAAAAAGTAAACTGATTACTTAATTTGCAATACTTGTAATGCGTTACCCTAACACTGACGCCACATGACGCCAGTAAACAAATAAAAATTAAAAAATGTTGTCTTTTTTAGTAATTGATATGTTGTTGTCACAGTCACTCACCATTTGGACTTTGTTTTTCAGTTTTCTTGAGTTGAGTTGGTTGTCATGGTTGTTAATTTGATTCTTCATTTAGTTCAGGTGTGTCGTTAATTATCCTTGTTTGCCGGTGTACTTGAGTTCCCTTTCAGTCGAGAACTTCAGACGTAGTCGACGTCGACTGAATGGGATCACTCCAGGGAGCCAGTCATCTTCAAGTACTATTGAATGAGCCAATGGAATTGGCGTGCGTGATTTGTATCACACACTCCGCCCCCACGGCGCGGGTATAAATACGGAAGTGGATGCACGTACTAGTTGCCTTTCGCTTCGGAGCCGATCGTTTGATGTCTCTAAAGAGTGCTGTTGTTTACAACGAGCGAGTGTGTCTGTGTTCTTCTGGAAGACTCTCCCAGTGCTGGTGGTTTCTACAGCGCCAGTGCAGCGGTGATCGCGAGCTTTGAGCTCTCGACTGCTGTTTTAACAGCAACAAATTTCTAAATGTTTGTGTTTGTTGACGGCTGGTTAGAGGGCAGAAAAGTGAGTGCTTCACTTTTTCAGTTCACTGTTCAGTTCACTGTATGCTACGCCACTGGTGATGGGTCCTATTTCCTGAAAGAGCAACACGGGTGTGTTTGCGTCTTTTTGAAGATGTCATTCCACCTGTGCGTTTCTGGATGCGGTCGTTCCCTGTTCCTCTCTGACGGTCACAATTGTTGCATCACGTGTTTGGGCTTAGAGCACGCTGAAGCAGCTTTTATGGACAGTTCATGTTCCCATTGCGGGAATATGACTGTCTCGAGACTCGCCTTTGTCCGCAAAGCTGGAGTCCCCATTACCTTGCCCCATGCCCGGGTGCCGTGTAGGATGGGTTATCGGAGGATAGTGATGGATGTCTCGCCCGGTAACCATTCCCTGTGGGCTCCTCACCCCTCCATCACACCGCAGCCGATGGAATTCCTTTTGAATGTGCTGGTCCCTCTGTAATGGACCGATCAGCCATTTATATTGGGGTTCCCCAAGAGGATAAGATGTCGATAGCAGCATCGGAGGGTGAGCTGGCCTCTGGTTCAGTCTCGGTTGGAGGATTGGTATCTCGGAGTGGGCCGCGCTGGGTCTCAGCTCGCCGCCACAGTGCCTTTCTTTCCTGAAGTGCATGGAGAGCTAACCAGGTTGTGGACGGCACCTTTCTCTGCCAGAAACTGCCTGAATAGCTTTTCCCCCTCACTACCCTTGATGGAGGAGCGGTGAAGGGTTGCGAGGCTCCAGTGGCGCGGTCTGTTGCGACACAGGTGCACCTGTGTCCGGCGGCCGCTGCCTTTTGGGGGGATCCTCGTCTCCTCCCTAAGGCCTGTGAGTTCTTGTCCGTTCCGACGGGCAGAGCTTACATAGCCTGTGGGCAAGCCGCCTCCTCTTGCGTGCCATGGCGCTGCTACAGGTCTATCAGGTCAGGGCACTCATGGACATGCACGAGGGTAGCCCAGACCAGCCCAGACTGCATCCCACTGCATCTGTCGTGGCATGCACGATCGGTCTGGCGATGTCCACCTTAGTGGTTCAGGAGCGCCATCTTCAGCTCAGCCTGGTTGATATGGTGGATGCGGACAAGGTTTGGTTCCTGGTCTCCCCAATTTCCCAGGATGGGCTGATCGGCAACGCGGCAGAGAACTGCGTCCAACAGTTCTATTCCACCCAAGCGCAGACGGAGGCCATCCGGCACATCCTGCATCCGCCGGTGGCAGTTCCACCGCCTGCTCGTCGCCGAGGGCGTTCCCCTGCCGCTGCTCCCGCTGGGGCTCTGCAGCAGCCTCTACCCAGGCCTCAGCATGGAGCCGGTAGGGACGCCCAGCCCGCTCAAGGCGCTGCCAAGCTGCTCAGGGATGGAGGAGGATAATAGTGTTACAAATTTATTAAATGTTTAATTTAGGTTCCAGTACAATAGTATATAAACTGAGAAAGTCTAGTAGACTGAATTTAGCATTTGAGGTATAAATAAGCAAGAGATTCTGCCAGTCCTGGTCTCTCTATTGTAAGTTAAATGAATCAGATTACTGAGACTCTTTGTCTTTAATGGCTCTGGGAGCCCCTGGCTCAGTTTGAATAGTTATGCTGATTGGATTAGGATTGGTATCACTCTCAGTCTAGGGCAGGTTTCTAAACCTTTATACTTAATTTACATGCTTTGTTTCAGAGTGTCTCCACCTCTATGTAACCCCTCCCCCTTTGTAAGCTATATGAACACAAGGTATTTTGCCCTAAGATTTTTGGACGAAGCAGACTTGGATGGAAAGACTACAGCAATGCAGCTCATGTTCTCAATAAGGAATCCGGCTTAAGATACAACCAAGTCTCCTGGTCTTCGCTTCTGAGTTTTCAAACACTTTAGAAGAAAAAAGTTCACAACAATGCTCTTGGAGTTGGTCACCGATCCACTCCCTCCCCCTGGGTGAGGGCCGGGTGAAGTCTTCATTGTGTGTGTGTCTGTTCCACCGCTGGCTCCCAAAACAAGCAGAGCAAGCGATATCCACACTTCAAAAAAAGAGCAAATTCATCTGTTCCTGGGTCCCAAGAGGGCAAGTGTGGCGGTGTGCGACCCTGTAAAGCCTTGCACCCCTCAGCCCCCTGTTCTTCACCATCACAGCAGCTGGGTGCGGTTCAAGGACCCGGTCATCCGCCTTCTCACGCATCCCTGGCCATCTCTTGAAGACCGGTAAGTGTTGTGCACCACACTCAGACCCTGCTTCGGGCCGCCTTAGGGCCTTCCGAGCCAGGTCCCTGTCCTCCACCTCACTGCCCCACCTCGGTACGTCTGTGGTCCCCTGGCCCCTGGCCTGGTTCGTGGAAGCCAAAAATGCTTCCCAACCAGTCCAAATGGCCCCAAACTATACCATCAGACTCGGCTTGCGATTCCTTTTCGCTCGGCTTTCACCCAAGCTCAGTGATATTCATCACACCTAGGTGTTGAGCAAATATGCTGCTAAAAATAGTGACTTTAGTCACACCTAAGTGTTGAGCAGTGCTCCTATCTTGTGTGCGCACATCGCAGTCTACTGGTAAAGGACGCGATGCAGCCACTCCCTCCAGCCGATATGAAGGCTGGCTTCTATAAGCCCGTACTTCATTGTACCCTAGAGAGGTAGGTCACAACCATCTTGGTCCTGTGTTAATTGAGACAGGCCCTTTTTCGAAAGCCTCCGTTCAATTTGTTACACAGAGATGCATTTCCAAATGCTCCGTCCCCAAGATTGGTCTGCAGCGTTCGACCTGAGAGACATGTACTTCAGATCTCTATCCTTCCGCACCACAGGCCATCCTGTGTTTGTGCGTTCGAAAGGTGTGAAGTATCAGTACAAAGTCCTACCCTTCAAGTGCTCATAACCAGTTGGGTCCTCAGGTCAACTGGGAAAGAGTAAACTCGTCCATGGACTAAGGATCTCCTTTCTAGTTTGGAGATGGATTCGGTCCACCGCATCTCTGAAAAAGAGTGTGTGGATGGTTAGTGCTGTATAGAAGTGAGAAAGGGTCCCACTGAAACTCTTCAGAGGCTCCTGGGGCATATGGTAGATGCAGCCGCTCGGCTTCCTCCATACGAAAACCGCTTCAGCGCTGACTTCGCGGCCGAGTCCAGAGGTGGCCGTGGCAGAGCGGCACACTCCGTGTGAAAGCACCATGGCCTGCTGCCAAACCCTCAGTCTGTAACAGACCTTTTGTTTCTCCGGGCCACCGGTCCCTGGAACAAGTGTCCATCAATACCGGCTGAGGGGGCACGTACAAAGGGCATGCAGTGACAGAGGTCTGGGACGGCCCTCCGACTGCATTGGCATCCATTGCCTCGAGTTGCTTGCAGTTCATCTCGCTTTGAGACACCACTACTCAGCGAATTTGTACTGGTCTGAAAAGACAACATTGCGACCATTGCGCTTCCCTCTCATGTCACAACTCGCCCGCCACCTCAATCCACCTCAATCATGCTCAATCATGCCGCTGACAAGCCTCACGACAGCTGTGGCCCAGGGAGAGTGGAGACTCCGTCCCCAGGCGGTCCAGCTGTTTGGGACCACTTCGGAGCCGCACAGTTACATATGTTGCCCGCAAGGGATGCTTCCCTCCGCAAGTTCTTCTTTCTCCTGTCTGAGTGAGCATTCCTCAACACAGAAAAGATTCTGGCCACAGCTGACCCCGGGGCCCTCACAGAAATGTGTTAAAACCCCAGTGAGCCTTCTTGCACAAGACTGTGCTAAGGTCAGGGAGGAGATGGAGCAGGTCTTGCTAGTTGCCCCTTATTGGCCCAACCAGACCTCTCTACTCTCGACAGCCTTCCTGACGGACCCTGGAGAGTCTCCGGGTCTGGTTCTAAAAAAGGAACGGGATACGGAGGTTCTCGTTACTACCACAAGGTTTTGCCGTAGAGACCCTCGCTTCTGTTGAGCACCCTCAGAATGAGGCTTGCTCCACCTTAGAAGTGGTACCTATTCGTTGAAAGAATCTTCTGAGGAGATCCCGAATGTTTTCGATCACTTCAGTGTTTTCCTCCTGCTAGATGGGTTGGAGTGAGGCTGTCTCTTCCACCCTCAAAATGTTGTTGCCTCTGTATTGACGCACATCATGATGCAGTAAAGGGGTGCAAATCCTTGGGAAGCACGATTTGATCGTCAGGTTCCTGAGGGAAGCAATGAGAATAAATCCGCCTTGCGCCTACTCTTTACCCTCTTGGGATTATCTCTGGTGCTACTGCATTCAGAGACCTCCCCTGAGCCTCTTCAGGCAGTGAGTTAAAAGTCCTGTTTTTAAAGACACAGTTCTCCTGCTTGCTTGGTAGGGAGGGTAGGGACTTGCTTACATTTCGGTCAGCGAATCGTGCCTGGAGTTCAGGCCGGCTACCTCTCATGAAATCTGAGACCCCGGCCTGGATATTTGCCCAAGATTCCTACCTCTCCTACGGCCAGGTGGTGAGCCTGCAAGCGCTGCACCGGAGGAGGCAGACCCAGCCCTGGCTTTTCTCTGTTCCGTCCATTCCATTGCGGTTATACGTGCACAGAATGCAAAGCCTGGACCTCAGACCAGCTCTTGTCTGTTTCGGAGACCAGCAGAAGGGAAGGCTGTTTCCAAGCAGAGGTTGGCCCACTACATGTGGTTGCCTTCATCTTGTTGAGAAAGTTTTCCCAAGATGCATGTGCCCGCCTGGTTGGTGAGCTCCTCCTAAGTGAGAGTATTGCTCCCTCCTAGGCGTTGACACAGAGTGCCTCGCTGAACAGATGTTAAATAGAGTTGGGGGCTGGGCGACACCTATCATGTTCGCTGGAGAACTAGCCTATGTGTCAAACCGCTGCTTCCCATGTGCTCCCTTCACATGAAGCCAGTTTCACTGTAAGCCCGGTTCGAAGTGTCGGCTTGCTGCACCATTCCCCTCCTATGGACTGGATACGTGCGCAATTCTTGCTCCAGTTGAGTTCCCCTTATTAGCCGAACCCTGTCGAGTTCCTCCGTACTCTTTGGCAACGGACTTGGCAGAACGTCCGAAGCCAGGCCTATCACTCGTATGCACTGATAGAACCTTTGTTAGGCTGGGTCCATATGTTATGATCCCCACGGCGATCCCATATGTGTATTCTTCCACGGTACGGCTCCCTCCGGCGAGCCCGTGTCTTCCCTCTGCCGTCACTGTTCGGTTGATCCTCCCCCTGTTATAGGCTGGAGTCATCCCAGTGACATTCCATATGTTGTACTGCCCGGACATCCGCCCAGTCCATATGTGTATTCTCCACTTGTTACCTCCCTTCGGGCAGGATGTGGTTTCCTCAGCGTCCCTTCCTTCCATTGATAGGGTACGCTTTCCCAATGGTCCCTACCCCACAATTTCCCACCGCTGACTCCGAGTTAAGCTCGGCTCCTCAGCGAAAAAAGCAACTAGTGCGTGCATCCACTTCCGTATTTATACCTGCGCCGCGGGGGTGGAGTGTGTGATACAAATCACGCACGCCAATTCCATTGGCTCGTTCAATAGTACTCTAATGGCGCTTTTCCACTGCATGGTACAGTTCGGCTCGGTACGGTTCGACTCGGCGCGGAACAGTTCGGCTCGCTTCGCTTTTCCACTGCGTGGTACGATTCGACTCGGTACTGCACGGCTCGGTTCGCTTGGTTGCTTTTCCACTGCATTTAGTACCGCTTCAAAGTGGGTGGGACTGATAGTTATAGTTGCGCAACTCCTCGGCAACCAAGAGAGAGTCTGCACCTCTCTTCGTGCAGATTCTCTCTTGAGAATCGTGCTTACAAGATGAGAGTCTGCACCTCGTCCACTGACCACGATTCAGCCATTTATTTTTTGAAGTTTTCATCTTCTTTTTTCAAGCAAGTACTTTAAAAACAGGTGCTACAGCGTTGGCTGTTGTCTACTGGCTATTTAAATCTAACAGGTTTTAGTGTCTCGTGTCGCAAATACAATGACGCTGGTAGTGACGATTCTGTCTGTCTGACCAATCAGTGATCTGCAGTGTTTTCACGTCACATTTTAGTATAGGTACGTTACGCTTGGAACCTCAACAGAGGTGGTACCATTTAAAGCGAGCCGAAGCGAGCCGTACCGTACCATGCAGTGGAAATGCGCCATAAGTGAGCCGCCGTTCTGTACCATGCAGTGGAAAAGCGCCAAAGCGTGCCGTACCGAACCGAGCCGTACCGTACCATGCAGTAGAAAAGCGCTATAAGATGACTGGCTCCCTGGCTTGATCACATTCATTCGACGTCGACTACGCCCTCCTTCAGGGAACGGTGGGTTGCATATGCAACCAGGACGTTCCTTTGTTTCTGTTCATTGCTGTCTGGTCTCATCTGTGGTTAAGTTTTGTTGAATTTCTGTTCTCTGTTTCCCTTCATCATCGTGTTTGTGTGTTCTTCTACTGTTGTTTTTATTTTAAAAAAATAATTTATTTTAATTTGACTTTTTATTCTTTAATCAGTTATTAGCTTTTCTCCAACTCAGGAACCCCCTGCAGTTCAATCACAAACCTCAGTTTGGGAAACCCTGCATTACAGTAATGGAAATTTGGTGGGAAATGTGCCTGTGATATTGTCATGAAATGTATGTCACTATGCAAAAAATGAAGACTTCAGATGCAAAAGCCTCTAAGTGTCACCTGAAATTTTCTTCTAAAATGAGCATTTTTATCAGGCTCGTATATTTAAGTTCAGTAATTTCACTTTAATGATAAATAATTGGTAATTTTCATTGCCATTAAAGTGAAATAACTGAACATAAACATACGAGTTTTCAGATGGCACTTAGAGGCTTTTGCATCTGAAGTCTTCAAATCTTAGTGGTCCTAACATTAGACTCATGCACAATGTGATTAATTTATATTTTGTTTTGATTTTGGTTACATTATGAAATGTGACCTGGACATGTTTCCATTCAAAATTTTAATTTTTCACTTCTTGTTTTATTTTATCTCTCCTTGTCCATAGGGTGCTGTATTGGTTATCCAACCAGATTGGGACCAATGATTCGGATCCAGCCCAAGAAACAAAATCCACAGAAAATAAATATTTGATTCACTGTTAAACATGAGACAAACAATAAGGCAATTCCCAATTGATTTAGGACCAAATTATTCGAGAACAACATACTTTAAATATTATATAGAAGTGAGTTTTTGAAAATGGCTGGGTGAACATAGGAGAGGCAGTGAATCTGAGCATATGAGTGAGGCTGTACCACTACCTCATGTTATAAAGCCTACTTTATGCTACTAAATATAGCAAGGCGTTACTCCTTTTAGTCTTTACTCAGTGTTTTGCTGCTGTTGTCCCAACAACCAATTAAGTCCAAACTGGGCGAGGGGAATACTTCATTGTACAGCCCTACAATTTTCCATAATGTTTGTTAGGACAATGTGTATTTTAGAGCTGCACATTTTATTACAATGTCTGGATTTTATTGCAGTTCTTCCTTTTTTTTCATAAATTCCAAATATATTTAAATAAAAGTCATCCCTTAAACCCTGCTTGTTGATTATCATCGTTACCACTGGTCATATTTCTGCTTCTTGTCTCCTTTGGCACTTCCTAATCTTCTCGGAGATAAGATGTCCACCAACTCAATGCTGAGGTCATGACAGAGAAACCACCCAAAATAGAAGGCTACATGGTGTAAACGTAAAGTGGAAAATAGTTTATTTTAATTCAAAGAATGCAATCTGTAATCAACATCCACTGGAGGCAAGCTTTGAAAACCCAAGTGCAGCTTTATTCAAAATATGATCAAACATTAAACAAAGGAAAGGCACTCAACATGAACTCACCAAACAGTGGAAAGGGAAACAATACTTGACAAAGACACATGGCAAACATGAGGGCTTAAATACACACAAGGACTAATGACAAGGGACACCTGTGCTCATGATTAGACAATAAACCAATGACAACGACATATTCACATGGGGAACACATGACTATAACAGGGAATCACATGACAACAGGAAATATGACCAAGACATGAAACAAGAGGTGTGTTCAACATTGGCTGCGGCTGGATGAAACCGATCGGCGAGAGTTGCGGCGTGCAGGAGCTGAAAACGGAGACGTGAAGTCGGGACACTTTCTGCTTCCCGTAGTGACGCTCGTGCTGTTTCCATACTTTACCACAGCGACGGAAGTGAATCAAAATTAACTTTAACGAGACAATAACTTTATTCTAGAGCTGCTGTAAAGCCAAAACAATCTCTGTTATTTTAATTTCCTATTATCACTGTAAAGCTGCTTTGAAACAATCGATTGTTAAAAGCTTTATAAATGAAGGTGACGACAGCGACAAGTAAAATAAATGCAATATTTGTCAAATACACAGACTTTTCAGAGATATTTTCATTCAATACTTGTATGTACTGCTTAATACAGTGTCTGTTTGTACAAGAATAACATTCAAAATAAGCCTATGCCATTTAAAAACCAATGTAGTGATGTCTATGTTTTTTAATCAGTTTTATTTTGATAAACATAACAATATAAAAATCACGACTACCTGAAAAGAGATTTTACTGTTATAAAACAGATTTGTGAGCATTAGTGGAACTAAGGTGTGAGAATAAACACGAAACACGCGTAATTTGTCGTCATGCGGTGAATCTGGCCAATCGTGGAATAGCTGTATCGTCATACATCAGAGCTTGTGCAAATTGCTCTCGCCGTACTTTGATGGCATACGTCACAGTCACGTGGCGTCGGCTCTGTATCAAGTTGGAGAACATTTCTAACCTGGCATGCACTGCTTCAAGTCAGCCGCCAATCGGATTGGGCTGCGGAGCGTGCGCGGACCTGGGCTGGTTCAGGGGGCCATGGCGGTGCCAAAAATTATTGGGCTGAGCTATGGGGTTGTGGGCTGGAGTACCCTCTGGATGCTGGCCAGGGGCTGGAGTCGATGCGTGTGTGGCCCACACACACGATAGCCATGGCCACAATTGTCAGGGCTGCATCGTCCGGAGCTGACTCAGGCGTGGCGGCCATCTTGGCTGTGGGCTCTGGCGTGGCGGCCATCTACGCTGAGGCCTCGGGAATGGTGGCCATCTTGGGACGAGACTCGGGCGTTGCAGGCATGACGGGACGAGACTCAGGCTTAGTAGATACTGCGGGTTTGCGGGGCTCCTCCTCCGCAAAACCCACAGTAAATGAGGAACCGCTCATTAATAAAGCAAATTCAATATACTCTGCAAGGGTTCCAGGAATGTCACTTTCTTGCAATTCCAGTGATCAAGTCCATGGCAAAAAATGCCCTTGAGGGCAACGTCATTGAAATTTACCTGGTGCCAGAGTTCCCAAAAGTCCTTGACATAATCCTCAATGGGCCGTTTGCCTTGACGAAGGCGGGCAACTGCTGGGTTCATGGACACCTGTGCTCATGATTAGACAATAAACCAATGACAACATGACACATTTACATGGGGAACACATGGCAGGATCACATGAATATAATAGGGAATCACATGATAAGAGGAATCCTGACTGAGACATGAAACAAGAACATGGCCCTGTCCCAAATGGCACACTTCATGTGCACTTTCGGTCTTGTGGACTTACAATGGCTGCCGCGTGCGCGTGTCCGTTAAGTCCGTGAGACCGCAGTGTGTCCCATTTGTCATTTTTAGATCTCAGAAGGGTGCTCGCGAGCGCCCCCTCTGCGGTCGATTTGCGCCCTTGATGCGCACTTTTGCCGAGCCCGCGCTGATGCGGACTCCACAGCAGACTTCTTCCCGACATTCAAAGCGGCGTTACGTCGCGAAAGTGGGGACTCAGAGGAAGACCGCGAGTGCTTAGGGTTCCATTTGGGACAGGGCCCATGAAACCAAAACAACCTGTGATACAATCCCTGTCTGTGCCACTGGATTTTTATGTCTGAGGATTTCATGCACAGTTTTAAAAAAGTGCTTCTCTATTCACTGGCTGTTTAGCTTTTATTATCTTGCCCTTGATAGGACCATTTTCAAAGTTCTGAAAGTGCTAAATACATAAATATGTCCGATTTGGAATTACTCTCTCACAAAGATTGTCCCTGAGAGAACTAATATCATTACTATCAGATGTGATAACTATCAGATATCAGATGGGACTTTAAAATTTGTTTTTGAAACTTGACTAACATGTCTTCAAGATGTTGATGAGATCGGTTCTTTCCAACATTTAAAAAACTGCTAAATGTTTGATGACATTCCAAATCTATGTCATTTAAACTACCAATCCTGTGAAAACAAAAAATCTGCCAACTGTAGGCAGCAATATCAAGAGCATATTGATCAAAATGGACAAACATAGGATTTAAACAATTATTTGGTAGTAAGTAACAAGATAATATAACCACTGGACACCATCTAAGAAGTTTGTAATCTTGCTTTGTTTGCGTATATGTATCCCATATTCTGATCATATGTTCTCACCATATTTCATTTTTTACAATGGTGTTTGAAAAGTAATGTGAATGCCTTGTAGGGGTTTGAATGGCCAAACATGCAAGTAATTGTTGATCATCTGCCACTTCATCAGTATTTAGAAATAACTATATATAAATATTTTCCTCCTTGTTTCAATTACAATGTATTTATTACATTCAGGACAAAATTATTATATACTCTAAACTGTAGAGTAGATTTAAAATACTTATTTAGGGGGATCTTTTAAGGTTGTCTATTGTAAACTGATAAAAAGAAAGGATTCAAAACTCATCAATCACCTTCATATTATTCCAAACTTGTATGACTTACTTTCGTTTGTGAAAAAAAAGAAGATATTTTGAACAATATTTCAGCTGTTTTGTCCATACAATGAAAGTCAATTGGCTCCAAAACATTGGACCCCACATATGGTCAATAAACAATGAAGTATTTGCCTAAATGTCTTCTTTATGGAAGAAAAAAGTAATTCAGGTTTGGAACAACATGAGGATGATTTTTAATTTTTGTGTGTATTATAACTTTAAGTTTTGAATTAAGCAAAAACCAAACCACCAACAACCAACTGCAAAACCTAAATACGAGATCACACATTATCAATTATTTGGGTTTCACCTTATTTTGATGGTCCCTTTAACATATTCTGTTGACTATAAGTAATATTGCACCTACATGTCTATAACTCATTAGAGTGTTAGTAGAGTATTAGTAGACTGGTAGGGTTAGGGTTAGAATAAGTTGTACTTGTACTTGCAGAGTTTCTTATAGTCAGTAGAATGTCTGTTGGAGGACCAACACAATAAAGAGTTAGCAGATATTAAAGGAGAACTCCGGCGCAAAATGAACCTTTGGTCTAATTACACATTGGTACCTAGTCAACCGTTATCTGAGATTTGTTTTCATGATTATCGAATGTAAATAGTTTTATCTCTAAAAACAGTTTAGCCTATAAAGCTAGTATAACGCTAGTATATTGGGCATAGATCAATGACAAATAAAAATCGCTTGTTAATACCACTAACAAGGCTCAAAATAGCCCCACACTAACACGGTAGCATAATGAGGGTCCCTACCTTCAAACCGAAGCATTGAGAACTTTGTCAGTGTCCAGACAGTTTAATAAGAAGATATTTAATACATACAGTCAACTTCGCGTATACAGGCAGGAGCCATCTTTGAAATACAGCCTTTACCAGTCGATCTACGAACGCCGATCCAAGCCTGCTGTTCGCGCTCACCTTATCACAACTTATAGCTCGTTCACATCTCACTAGCACACTTGGATCGGCGTTCGTAGATTGACTGGTAGAGACTGTATTTCAAAGATGGCTCCTGCCTGTATACGCGAAGTTGACTGTATGTATTAAATATCTTCTTATTAAACTGTCTGGACACTGACAAAGTTCTCAATGCTTCGGTTTGAAGGTAGGGACCCTCATTATGCTACCGTGTTAGTGTGGGGCTATTTTGAGCCTTGTTAGTGGTATTAACAAGCGATTTTTATTTGTCATTGATCTATGCCCAATATACTAGTGTTATACTAGCTTTATAGGCTAAACTGTTTTTAGAGATAAAACTATTTACATTCGATAATCATGAAAACAAATCTCAGATAACGGTTGACTAGGTAACAATGTGTAATTAGACCAAAGGTTCATTTTGCGCCGGAGTTCTCCTTTAAGCAGACAGTCTACTTATACTTTAATGAGAGTTAGTTCACATGTAGTGGCAAAGTTACTTATACTCAACAGAATGTACAATGGGGACCTTCAAAATAAAGTGTTATCATTATTCGTTTTATAGTTGTAGCATTTAAATATCAGTACAGTGAATGGTGGCTGTTACAGGCATTTTTTTTTATCAATGAAGCTGATTCATTTGTGGTTGCTGTTGTGGTGTAGCTTTGTTGTGGCGAGTGTAGTGTGTGAGAAGAAAACAGAAATGACAGGCGCATGAACATGTTGTTTGAGGCCTACAGCAACTCTTACTAAGAGAACTCTGTTT